TGACCCCTCCAGCAGCTGCTCACCATCAGCTAGCTCTCGTCTCCCCTCCTGGCTCTCCCCTCCCCTCGCCTCGCCTCTCAGACTGCTGATTGGGTGGGATTCTGACTGCTGCTACTTGCTACTTTGTGCTGAATGCTCAAGTTAGCTAGGCACTATGCTAAATCCTTTACATCCCCTCCCAACCCTGTGAGGTTAGTGAAGTTACTAATTCAATTTCACAGATGAGAAACAGAGTCTCCGAGAGGTTAACAACTTGGCCAAATTCACCGAGCTACTAAAATTGTGGTATCGGGCAATGAACCTAGGCTGTTTAAGTCCCCAACTGTGCTCTTGGTCAGCAAAGTGAAAAGGAAGATGGTAGGTGGGGGAGGACAAACATATATTGTACTTTATATGTACCTAGCATTTAGTTCTGACAACAATCATTTAACAGATGAAGAAACAGAGGCTCAGTAACTTATCCAAAGTCGCACAGTTTAGTAAAAGGACCCAAGTCCCTCTGACTGCAAAACCAAATACACTTTCTTATTTTTCCTTCCCAATGGAATTCCCAAAAATGTCACTGCTAGAACCGAATAATTAAAAATCTCTCCTATAGATATTTTTAGATCTCCACATCCAAGCCAAACAAACATGATAAAACCAACACCTGGGGAGTTCTATTAAAGACTGCCTGCAAGGAAACCACGGCATAACTTTGTTTTGTAAATTTTTCTGTTTCAATTAATTATATTTTCTAGGGTTCAAAGAAAAAGATGGGAGGCAGAAACTTGTTTTATTGCTTTATAAGTAGGAGTCACGGAATAATGGATCCTTTTGGTTATTCTGTGTAGTCATCTCAGTCACAGCTGCGTCCCTCAGGTATCAGGAGAGGGGTGAGTGAATGTGGTAGGAAGCTATGGGGTCGATAGATCAGACGTTACCTGGAATGGACCTGAAAGATATTGGGATCCAACTCTCATTTTATGTATGTATGTATTTATTTTTTAAATAGCAGGACTTATCAACATTCATGTTTTAGCCTATGCTATTGTGTTTAATATACACTAGGTTTATATACATATATACACACACACATATTTTTTTAATCCTCACCTGAGGATATTTTTTCTATTTATCTTCAGATAGAGAGGGAGGGAGAGAGAGGGAGAGAAAGGAAGAGAGAGAGAAACATCGACAGGAGAGGGACACATCGACTGGTTGCCTCCCACACGACCCTGACCAGGGCTGGGACCAAACTGCAACCGAGGTTCATGCACTCGGCCAGAATGGAACCTGTGACTCATTGGTCCGCAGGCCGATGCTCTAAAGGCTGAGCCAAACCAGCAGGGCCCAACTCTGATTTTATACATGGAAACTCAGAGGCTGTGACTGCTAAGTTAATGGTAGAGCTGAGGCTAGAAACCGCGGTTTTCTGAATCTTAAACCATCGTTCTTTCCATGGAAAGGAACCAGGAACCACTTTTGAATATGTTCCTTTTCCCTCCCCTTTTGAACCAGAGAGGGGGAAAAATGTGAGAAAGCTTAAAGAAGCATTTAAAATCATCATAATCAAGTAATCTTGGAAAGAGGTGAAGAAGGTAACTGCAGAGGCTGGAATTAGCCAGCACAGGAAAAGATAAGGTCTTATCTAAAGCAATTAGAGTAAACAGGCAATTAAAGGCTTTTGTTACTTGTATTACAATGAACGCTCTGAAACAAGCGAGCTTTTGAAATCCTTGCCCAAATCAGAACCTAGAAGTGAGGACCTCTAACCTCCAAGCAAAGTTCAGTGAGAGACAAAAGGTGTTTGTTTTTATGCTTAACTGGGTAGGAAAAAGAATGGGAAACAAAATGTCAGCTGGGATCCTGTGAGTCCCATTTCAGGGCCTGGGGAGTCCAAGCCCACCCCTGGGTTTTTGTGCATTGTCCCAAAGGGGCTTTTGCTTCTGTTGCCTTCTAGACTCCTGAGATCTCGTTTCCGTGTGTAAAGGGAATAGAAATTTCTCCCCAGCAACAGCAAATACATTTGATCCATATCACTAACACCTTCCTGGTGTCTCTCCCCTACCTCATCTCAGCTTCTCGCCATGGGGGGTGGGGGGGTGGGGGGGGTGGGGGGACTTCTCTCTCCTCTTTCCTCCCCTTCCCTCGAAGGAGCAGAAACAACTTTCTCTAATCTCCAGCAGAGAAGGTCCCCCCTCATATGAAGGGAGGTGCCCACAGCACCCAAGCCCTCAAGGAGTCATCTCTCTCCACAAGCTCATCCATAGCTCTCTCCTTGCCCTTCCCAAAGAGGAATTGTGGGGCCAGCTGTTATGATTAAATTTAAAATTTTTTTCACATCTTTCCATGAGATGGGAAAATCTCTGGAATTTAATTAAAATGATACCTGGCTCTACGGGGATGTTTATACTTTAAAATTGCTTTGTTCTGTATGGAATTTTGTAATAACTAATACTTGGGCACTTCTTGATATGTATAGAATTTTTTAAAAGTTATCTTTATTGTTGAAAGTATTACAGACCCCCCCCCCCCCTTTCCTCCTTGTTCAAAATTGTAAAGCACTAGAGAGAAGATCTAGGCTTTACTCCCATCTTCCAGCAGTGATTCACCCTACAAGGTGGTGAAATGGAGCAGCTGCAACCAGGCAGCACCGGAACGGACAGCCTGAGAGGGAATCAGACACCCTTTGAAGGGGTGGGCTCTGAAAACGCAAACCTGTGCAATAACAGAGAACATCATGAGCTCACAATACATGTAGATTTGAAACTGTTTTCCTAAGAACGTTTCTCTTTTTAAAGAGAGCTCTCATATTTGAAGGCTCTGTCCTGAGGGGAGAACCATGAAGATGGCCCCTATTAGCCACAGCCCTAGAGAAATTACCTAAGGAATATTCTTTGTACTTCTACATTCCTGCGCTTTTTCTTCTCTTCCAACCTCTATGTTCACAAAGCTTTAACTGCTCCAACTAGCACATGCCCCCTTTTCTATTTAAGGGGGGCAAGGAACAGTCACGTGTTCAGATCTCAGGAACCTCTTGGCCAGGCTTTGGGGGTCTGTCCCTTGCATCCTTGCCTTTGTAACGTGTGCCCCTAAGTTCCACCTGCTCCCCTGCTTCTCTAGTTTCTCCTGAAATCTTCCTAGATAAACCTAAGCGACATGAGAATTTTCTATCAAATGAATATGTAATTATTTCCTTTGCATCTCATCTGGGTCTACAGTTGTCAGAGTTTTATTTGCTCCCTACTGTCCTTGGGTCCCCTAATTGATTTCCTCAATACCCATTTCCTTTTCTCTCAAGCCCCACATCCAGTGTTTCTTCATTTTCTCAAGCAATTTGCATCACTTAGGGGGGTTATTTCCTAGGAGTTACGTGGCCTATGGTGAGGGCAAACTGCTACCTTGTGGAGAGGGGGCATTGGTCACACTCACCCGGTGGCCCAAATAGCCAGTTATCACAGGCATCGTCACCCAGTCAAAGACCATCCCATACTTTTGGAGGGTTTAATTATGCCTATGCTTCTTAGCAAAACCACTAAGCATAAATAGTGACTGTAATTAGCATATTTACATAAACAATACAAGTAGATCAATACAGTCACGTACTTCATTTATTAATAGCTTAATTGTTTAATTTGCCCTGTTTTCCCTTTGGGCTTTAATTAGCAGTACAACTTTTAAAGTTTTTAATTTGTAACAAATATTTTAACTTAAGCAAGCCCTGCTAGTATGTGCCAGATGGTTAATGTCAAAAGCTCATGGGGAAGGCTTCTGTTTAGCCTTTGATTTTTGTTGTTGTTTTGTTTTTTAAGCTGGAGAAATGTTTGTGCTGATAATTTGTAAGCATACATCACCATCAACTTTTATCGTCCTTCAGTTCCCTGATCTCCCCCAGATTTCTCTTCTAGTCCTAGCTTAGGAGGAGCCAGGAAACCAGACAGAAGCATGTCTGAATGGCCTGCGTGATAAGCCTCATAAAGTTATTTTTCTCAATTAATGGTTTTCACTGACAATTTTACTGCTCTGCCTTAAGCTTCCCTGTTCCCTGGGGCATTTGTACATCTGCCTGTGATAAGCCCATCCAGTCCAACAAAATTGGTCCCTCAGAATACAAACTGCCCTATTTTAAAAAGCTCATCTCTCCCTCTCTCTCTTTGAACATAATAACACTTGAAAATAAATTTAAATGGAAAGTAATAGGGCTTTAAAGCAGAGCTATCAAAGTGATTTACTCATGAGTACATACTTATTCTTCTCCCAATTGACATCCATTTCATATTAATTTTCCTTGAGTGTGTATCCTCAGCTTTTTTTTTTCTAAATCCTTACTAATAATATGAAGTTTTTATTTCACCCTTATTCCCTTCTACTTTGCACCAAAGACTCACATGTGCTAAAAGGGATCCACTGGGGGTATAGAACCACAGTTTGGAAAACTCTGCTATGAAACGATAATGCTCCCTCGACACAATTACTGACTTTATTAGGTCGTCAATTAGCTATTTTTTTTCATTAGGGACAGAGAAGTTCTGAGTTCACTTTTTCTGAAGTTACTTGAACTGCACTGTTATGATCTGCACTGTACTCCTCTGGCAGCAGGAAAGCTATGGAAAGTGTACCTTTTCTTATGTCAGCGAACCCTTCATTCCATTGAGAAGTAATTTCTGTAGAGAAATTTCTATAGCCGCAACCCCCCACCCCGGGACCAAAGGACTCATAGCAGAAGAAAAACCTAATAATGCTCCCTTTATATTATATTGTTCTCAAAGCAGATTCATACACATCAGTTCATCTGGTTGTGGTTGTTTTGGTGTTTTTTTTCTTTAACAGATGAGTAAAGAGGGGCTCTGAGAGATGAAATAAAGGGCGTCTTCAAGATTACACAGCTTGTCAGTCGGTTTCAGAGACTAGAATTTAAACCACCACTGGATTCTGATTAAAAAAACAAATTCAGTTTCGCAAACAGGATTTAGAGAGCCAGCGATTATGGTGGGGCATCTTTTGAAAGCAATACTCACCAGTGACTGGGCTTTCCTTAGCTTAGATCTGTCCTGCAATTTATTTTTCTTATCATGTGACTGTCGGCTGGAATCTGGGGTCACTGAATGTCTTTTCTTTCTTCTGTAAGTTGGAAAGCATTGGAAAAATTACAAATAATCATTTTAAAACTTTGTCCATTTGATTTTGTTGTTCTTAGGATTTAAAAGATTATCTTCACTCAGCTGGAAACAAGCCAAATGTCTATCAATAGAGAACTGGTTGAATAAACTCTACAGCCACACAATGAAGTGTTATAAGCTGTAAAAAGGAAGGCAGAATATTTCTGGATACAACTGTGGAGTGATCTCCAGGATATATTGTTACATGAAAAAAGGAAAAGTGGATAAAGTGGTATGTACTGTATGTTACTATTTATTTCCAAAAAAAGTGTGTGTGTGTTTTAATTTTATTTTTAACATTTTATTTATTTTTTATTTAATTAATTAATTTTTGTTACAGATGTTAATCCTTTTCCTCCCACTGATACCCCCCTCCCCACCCTCCCCACCCTGTCCCCAGCTTTGTTGTCCATGTCCATTGTTCATGCATACGTGCATATAAGTTCTGTGGTTTATCTCTCCCCTCCACCCCCTTTTCTGGGGATTGTCAGTCTGTACCCCACTTCCACATCTCTGGGACTACCCCATTCCTCAGACTGTTATGTTCATTGTATTCCACAAATAAGTGAGATCATGTGATATTTGTCTTTCTCTGCTTGGCTTGTTTCGCTTAGGATAATACTTTCCAGATCCCTCCATGTCCTCTCAAAGGATAAGAGATCTTTCTTTCTTACAGCTGCATAGTACTCCATTGTGTATATGTACCACTGCTTTTTTACCATTTGTCTGCTAATGGACACTTGGGCTGTTTCCAGATCTTAGCTATTGTAAATAGTGCTGCTATGAACATGGGGGTACATACATTCTTTCTGATTGGTGTTTCAGGCTTCTTAGGGTATATTCCTAGAAGTGGGATCACTGGGTCAAATGGAAGTTCAATTTTTAATTTTTTGAGATAACACCATATTGTTTTCCATAATGGCTGCACCAGTCTGTATTCCCACCAGCAGTGTACTAGAGTCCCCTTTTCTCCACAACCTCACCAACACTTGTTGTTTGATGATTTGTTGATGGCGGCCATTCTAACAGGTGTGAGGTGATACCTCATTGTTGTTTGAATTTGCATCTCTCTGATGATTAGTGATGTTGAGCATTTCTTCATATGTCTCTTAGCCATTTATGTGCTTTTAAATGGAAAGATTACACCATGTATTCTGAGAAATGGTTACCCATAAGTAGGATTTCCATGTGACCCAATCAGGCACAAGGAACAGGATGGAAGGGTAGGAACAGAAGCTAGACTTCTCCACCTGTACTTTGTTTTGTTTATTTGACTGTGGAACCATCTCAGTTTTTCTCAAAATTATAAAATAAAGAGAAGACTGAAAATCCCTAAACTCTAAAAATAAAATGAAACAAATGATCCTGTCCCTTGAGTTGGTGGCATTAGCACAGACACAATTACTTCCTGGGACTTTTACATAGTAATGTGTCTGAATATTCTTAGTAGAATATATCTTGAGGACAAAACACAAGCAAATGAATCTTAAATTGCTTTCAGTAATCCTGTGGTTTGTATTAACGTTACTATTTGTTTTCTAAAACTATCATATATATTAGGATAAAATAGAGATGAGCAGACCATAGCCCAGAGGCCAACTGCAGCCTGATGCCTTTTTTTGTAAATAAAGTTTGATTGGCACACAGTCATGCTTATTTTTTGCATATTGTCTATGGCTATTTTCAGGCTACAATGGCAGAGTTGAACAGTTGTAACGTATGTCCTGCACAGCCTAATGTATTTGCTGTCTGGCCTTTTCCTGAAAAAGTTCACCTAAAATAATGGATCTAGGAAATGATCATCAATGGCCACAAATATCACACACACACACAAAAGAGTAACAAGCCCTGGCTGGTGTGGTTCAGTGGTTAGAGCATCGGCCTGCACACTGAAGGGTTGCGGGTTCAATTCCCTGTCAAAGGCACATACCTGGGTTGCAGGTTTGATCCCTGGCCCTGGTAGGGGCATGTGTGTGAGGCAACCAATCGATGTGTCTCTCTCATATTGATGTTTCTCTTTCTCTGTCTCTTTCTCCTTCCCTCCTTCTCTCCCTTCCCCTCTCTCTAAAAATCAACAGAAAAAAATAGATTAACAAAAAAAAAGAGAGAGAAAGAGAATGAGAAAGTATGTACCTCATGATGGGACTACATGACCATTATATACTCAAGCCTCTAGATAAGCGGTTCTCAACCTGTGGATCGTGACTCCTTTGGGGGTTGAACAACCTTTTCACAGGGGTCACCTAAGACATAACAGTAGCAAAATTACAGTTATGAAGTAGCAACAAAAATAATTTTATGGTTGGGGGTCACCACGACATGAGGAACTGTAGTGAAGGGTCACGGCATTAGGAAGGTTGAGAACCACTGCTCTAGATCTTACCACCAGTATGGCCAAATACAGGAGACAGAGGAACATGTGATGTTGATGTTGGGAGTGCAACCAGCAAAATTCAAAAGGTGAGAAGCTCTACAGGATAAATGACTTGATTTCTGTCACAAACAAATTACAACAGGAAGAGAGAGAGAGTGAGAGAAGGAGGGAGGGAAGGAAAGAAAAGAAAGGAAGGGAAACCTATGGATTAAAAACAAAGACTTAAGTGACACATGGACAAAATGGACCTTATTTGGGAAATGACTAAATAAACTGTTTAAAAATATCCAACACTCGCCATGGCCGGTTTGGCTCAGCGGTTAGAGCGTCTGCCTGCGGTCCTGAGAGACCCGGGTTCAGTTCCCGCTAAGGGCACGTACCTCGTTTGCAGTTTGTCCCCGGCCCTGGTCGGTCGTGCGGGTGGCAGCCACTCGATGTGTTCCTTTCACATCGATGTTTCTCTCTCTCTCTGTGTTCCTCTCTCTCTCCCTCCCACTCTACCTGAACAGAAGATGGAAAAATGTCCTCAGGTGAGGATTAAAAAAAAAAAAATCCAACACTCATGAGACATTCAAGGAAACCAGATAACTGATTTGATATTTGATTGATTCTATAAAAAAATCATTCATTGATTTAGATGTGATATGGTATTAAGTTATGACTTTTATTTTTATTTATTTACTCATTTTTCTTTATTGATTTTTAGAAAGAGAGGAAGGGAGAGAGAGACAGAAATATCAACGAGAGAGAACATCGATTGACTGACTCCTGCATGCCCCCCATTGGGCATGTGCCCTGACCAGGAATCGAACTATCGACCTCTTGGTGCATGGGTCGACACTCAACCACTGAGCCACACCAGCTGGGCTCAAGTTATGACTTTTACAAAGGTTCTATTTTTTAAGGATATGCATTAAAACATGTATGAATGAAAAAAATATGACATTTGGATTTGTCTCAAAAATAATGCAGGGGAAGGGCAGAGTAGGTAAGGAATAAATGAAACCAGATTAGTCACCAATTGAAACCTGTTAATGATGGATGATGTTTACAAGGAATTCTATTCTACTTTTGTATATACTTGAACTTCCATTATAAAGGTTTTTTGTTGTTGTTAATACTCAACCAGGGATTGAACCTACAACACAGGTAAGTGCCCTTGACTGGGAATCAAACCCACAACCCTTTGATCCTCGGGCCAATGCTCTAACCACTGAACAATCAGCCAGGGCCATTATAAAGTTTTATTTATTTTAATTTTTTTTTCTTTACTGATTTTAGAGTGAGAGGAAGGGAGAGAAACATCGATGAGAAAAAACATCGATAATGGCCACCTCCTGCATGCCCTGCACTGGGGATCTGGCCCATATCCTGGGCACATGCCCTGGCTGGGAATCGAACCGGCAACCTCTTGGTGCATGAGTTGATGCTCAATCACTGAGTCACACCTGCCGAGCTATAAAGTTTTATTTAAAAATGATCAGCGTTGCCCTGGCCAGTTTTGTTTAATGGTAGAGTGTCGGCCTACAGACCAATGAGTCACAGGTTTAATTCCGGCCAAGGGCATGTACCTCAGCTGCAGTTCCTCTCTGGTCAGTGTCATGCGGGAGGCAGCCAGTTGATGTGTCCCTCTCACATCGATGTTTCTCTCTCTCTCTCTTTCTTTCCCTCTCTCTCTCTTCCACTCTAACTGAAGATAAATGAAAAAATATCCTCTGATGAGGATTAAAGAAAAAAAAAAAGATCAGCTTTGCCCTGGCCAGTGTGGCTCAGTTGGTTGGAGCATCAACCTGTACACCAAAAGGTCACCAGTTTGATTCCCCATCAGGCACACACCCAGGTTGTGATCTCAATCCCCAGTTGGGGTGTGTGCGGAAGGCAACCAATGGATGTTTCTCTCTCACGTGGATGTTTCTCCCTCTCCCATTCCTTTCTCTCTAAAATCAATTTAAAAAAACAATTTAAAAAGACTTTTAAAAAATCAATTTAAAAAGATCAGCTTTGCTGAATATTTCTTGCTGCTTAATTTTCAAAAATTTCCCTCGACTTTTAATTAAGAAATTTCAAACATACATAATAGTTGAAAGAATAGTACAGTGATTACTCATATATTCTTCAACTAGATTCAACAACTGATATTTTTCTTTATCTCTCTCTATGCATAGATACATATGTGTAAACATATACATACACACACCATATATGTACACACATACCCACACCACATATTTTTATCTGTCACGCCATAAAGAAATAAATTGCAGACACTTCACTCCTAAATACTTCAACACTCGCCCTGGCCAGTTTGGCTCAGCGGTTAGAGCATCAGCCTGTGGTCCACAGAGACCTGGGTTCGGTTCCCGCTAAGGGCGTGTACCATGGTCGCAGTTTGTCCCTGGCCCTGGTTGGGTTGTGTGGGTGATAACTACTTGATGTGTCCCTTTCACATCGATGTTTCTCTCTCTCTCTCTCCCTCCCTCCCTCTCTCCCTCCTACTCTATCTGAACAAAAAATGGAAAAATGTCCTCGGGTGAGGATTAAAATAAATAAATAAATAAATAAATAAATACTTCAACACTCATCTCCTAAGATAAAGACATTTGCTTACCTAACCACACTAGTATCATACCTTAGAAAATGAACAGTAATTCCTTAAAATCTATTTAATACCCAGTCTATATCAAATTGTCCCAAGAATGCCTAGTAAAGTCTTTCTTTTTTGAATCAGAATCACACATCTAGACTCTTTGGTTGTTATGTCTCTTATATTCTAGAACATTTTTCTCACCTCTTTTTCCCCCCATGACACTAACTGACTTTATAAAGAGTCCAAGCATCTGGTCTATTTTGGTGAATGGACCCTATGACTTGGGTATTACTATTATTGCCATTTTATAGATGTGGAAACTGAGGCACAGAGAGGTTAAGGGAGTCCCCAAGGTCACACAGTTAGAAGTGTGGGAGCCTGGATTTGAACCCAAGCAGTATGGTTCCAGAGCCTGTACACCATCACTATCCTATGCTGCCTTGATATTAATCTGCTCAAATATATTCTAAAAATATGGCAGATACATAACATTCTCATATATTTCAAAATGTGTTTTTTAAATTTCTTGTTTATCTTTTGTATGTGCATGTGTGTGTTAACAAATGAATGGATAGATATGTATTCATAGATATAGATCTATGTTTTCTTTTCTTTCTATACAATGGATGGCACATTATAGATACTCTTTTGCAATCTGCTTTTCTCATTTAACAATGTACTCTGAAAATCACTTCTTATCTGTTCAGAGTTGCCTACTGCTCCATTGTGCGAATGGACAATACATAATTTATTCAACAGTCTCCTATGTATGAGCATTTACATTATTTCCAATGTTTTAAAATCATAAACAATGCTGTAATAAATTTGTGCAGATGTACTTTCAGTATTTTCAGCACTGATTCCTAGAAGTGGGATTGCTGAGTCAAAATGTACTACATATGCATTTTTGCTGGATACTGTCAAATTTCCCTCCATAAAGTCTGTGCCAATATTCTCACCAGCAATGAGTAAATTCTATCAGCATTTGCTCACAGCCTCATCAACAGAACATATTGTTAAACTTTAAAGTTTTGCCAATCAGATTGTTGAAAAATGATGTATCTTGTAATTCAGTATAAAAAGAGACCCTGGAAGGATAAACCAGAAACTAATGAGAATTGTTAGTAGGAATGGGGTGGGAAAGATAACAGGGTGGGAGTAGAGTGGAACTGATGGGGCGGCTCTTCTCTGAGTATTCCTTGTGTACACTTTTTGTATACTTTTATATAGTTTTAACTTTAAAACCATGTGACCTACCCACATAACTTTTGAATACAGTATTATGAGTATATATGCTCAGACTAAAGGCAAAGAGAACCATAAGCAAATATTGAATTCTAGTTCGTAAACTTGTTTTAATAATGGTATGATATATTACTTTCGGAATTTGTAAGTAAATATATACTCTGGGGTATTTATATATATTATGCATTCTAAAAAACAAAAAAAATTTTTAATCCTCACTTGAGGAACTTGAGGATATTTTTCCATTTATCTTCATACAGAGTGGGAGGTAGGGAGGGAGGCGGGGGTGGGGAGAGAGAAACATCGCCGTGAGAGGGACACATCAACTGCTTGTCTCCCACACGACCCTGACCAGGGCCTGGGACAAACTGCAACCAAGGTATATGCCCTTGACCAGAATTGAACCCGCGGCCCATCAGTTCGTGGGCCGATGCTCTAACCTCTGAGCCAAACCGGCCAGGATTATAATACAATTTTTATTTATTTATTTATTTTTTATCCTCACCCAAGGACATTTTTGCATTCATCTTCAGATAGAGCGGGAAGGAGAGAAGGAGGAAGAGAGAGAGAGAAACATCGATGTGAGAGAGATACACCACTGGCTGCCACCCACATGATCCCAACGGGGACGGGGACAAACTGCAACATGCTCTTAGTGGGAACTTAGTGGGAACCAAATCTGGGTCACTCTGGTCCCTGGGCAGACACTCTACCAGCTGAGCCAAATTGGCCAGGGCTATAATATAACTTTTATATAAAATTTTAGATGTACATATAATACATATCAAAATTATATATGTGCATACAGTTGACTCTTGAACAACATGGGTTTGGACTGTACAGGTCCACTTATTGAGGATTTTTTTTTTTTTTTTTTCAGTAAATACAGTCAACCCTTCTTCATATCCACAGTTTTCTCATCCATGGAGTCAACCAACCATGCACTGAAAAAAGTATTTTGCATTCTGAATCACAGATTCCCAACCACAGATGGAAAACACTGTTTCTTTTTTTTTTTTTCCTTATTGTTGAAAGTATTACAGATGTCCCTCCTTTGTTCCCCCATTGACACACCCTCCTCCCTGGTCCCCTCCACCTTTACCATACTGTTGTCTGAGTTCATTGGTATGCATATATACATATAAATTCTTTGGTTTATCTCTTCCCACCCTCCACCCCCCCATCCACTTTCCCCCTGAGGTTTGTCTGTCTGTTCCCTACTTCCACGTCTCTGGATCTATTTTGTTTGTCAGCTTATTTTGTTCATTATATTCCACAAATAAGTGGGAGCATGTGAAACTTGTCTTTCTCTGACTGGCTTATTTCACTGAGTATAATACTTTCCAGGTCCCTCCAAGTTATCTCAAAGGGTAAGAGATCTTCCTTTCTTATAGCTGCATAGTATCCCATTGTGTATATGTACTACAGCTTTTTTATCCACTCATCTGCTGATGGACACTTGGGCTGTTTCCAGATCTTAGCTACTATAATAGTGCTGCTATGAACATAGAAGTGCATGTGTTCTGATTGGTGTTTCAGGCTTCTTGGAATACATTCCTAGAAGTAGGATCACTGGGTCAAATGGCAGTTCCATTTTTAATTTTTTAAGGAAACACTATATTGTTTTCCATAGTGGCTGCACCAGGCTACATTCCCACCAGCAGTGTACTAGAGTCCCCTTTTCTCCACACCCTTGTCAGCACTTGTTGTTTGAGGACTTACTGATGGCAGCCATTCCGGCAAGTGTGAGGTGACACCTCATGGTCATTTTAATTTTCATCTCTCTGATGATTAGTGATGTTGAGCATTTTTTCATATGTCTCTTAGCCATTTTTATGTCCTGTTTAGAGAGGTGTCTATTCAGGTCCTCTGCTCAAATTTTTGGTCCTCTGTTAATCCTCACCCAAGGATATTTTTCCACTGATTTTTAGGTAGAGTGGAAAGGAGGGAGGGAGAGAGAGAAAAACACTGATGTGAGAGAGACACATTGATTGGTTGCCTTCCGTACAACCCTGACAGGGGCTGGGGATCAAACCTACAACCCAGGTACATGCCCTTGACCAGGAATCGAACCCACAACCCTTCGGTCTAAGGGCCAACACTCTATCAGCTAAGCCAAACTGGCCAGGGCCCTCTGTCTTTATCCCATCATACACTCTTGCCTTCTTTGTCAAATATTAATTGAACATAATGTCTTAGGTCAATTTCTGGGTTCTCTGTTCTGTTCAATATGATCTATATGCCTGTTCTTGTGCCAGTACCAGGTTTTCTTTTTTTTTTTTTATTACAGTGGCTTTGTAGCATAATCTGATATCTGGAATTGTGATCCCTCCAACTTTGTTCTTCTTTTTCAAGATTGCTGTGGCTATTCGGGGTCTTTTTTGCTTCCATATAAACTTTTGGAGTATTTGTTCTAGATCTGTGAAATATGTTGTTGGTATTTTGATGGGGATTGCATTGAATCTTTATATTGCTTTGGGTAGTATGGACATTTTAATAATGTTGATTCTTCCAATCTATGAACAAGGTATATGCTTCCACTTTTTTTATATCTTCCTCTATTTCTTTTCTCAATGCCCTGTAGTTTTCTGAGAACAGGTCTTTTACTTCCTTGGTTAAGTTCATTCCCAGGTATTTTTATTTATTTTTTTTGTTGCAATGGTAAGTGGGATTTTTTTATAGTTTCTCTTTCTGAGTGTCCATTATTGGTGTATAGAAAACACTGTTTTCAACTGCAGCTGGTAGAATCCATGGATATGAAGGGCCAACTGTAGTTACATTTTTGGGGAATCAAAATTTAGATGCAGATTTGAACTACATGGGAGTTTACACCCCTAATACTGGCATTGCTCAAGGGTGAACTGTGTAATGTATAATATGTGATATATAATCTATATATAACAAACAATAAGTAAATATGAGAGCCAGGTTTTCTCACTGTCAGAGAAGGAAGGTGCAAATGTGGAAAAGAAAAAGACTAGAATGAACCCTATGGTGCTGTATTAAAATATTAAAAGCTGTATTATTAAATCATTACAGCTATAAAATACAAACAAATCCTAATGAACAGGGTGAATTTACCAATAACAATTCCTTTACTTTTCAATTACTTTTTACTACTAAGTATAGAAAAGCACTTATATATTCACAAAGTTCAATTTTCATATGAGAGTGCCAGCAAATTGTTTCTAAAAGCAAACAAGTGAAGAAGGACATGGAACTTCTCACCCTTGCCTGCTCTGCTCGATGGGGTCACAATTGTCCAGGTAATTGAAGCGAATGATATCAGTTGGATGCTTGTCAGAAGATCGCCAGGGTGGAAGTTCTTTCTCCCCTGGGTGATTCTTCTTTCTTAAAGAAGAAGACCGGAACGCTGATGAAGGAGACTGCTTTTCCTCTGGAGAACTGCCTGTCACTGGTTGAACATCAGGGATCACAAACCCATCTTTTGGAGGTGTCTATAAGTAAATTAGTTATTTCTGTTCTTAACACACTATAATAACAACAATAAAACACAGAATATCATCATCATCATCACCACAATGGCAATGACAACGGTGGCAATGATTACAGCAGCCATCAACCCAGGAGTACTTGCTATGTGCCGGGCACCGTCTCGGGGAAGTTTTCATGCATTATTTTATTTAACCTTCACAATAACTCTAAAAGGTAATTGTTACTACTCCCATTTTAAAGAAGAGGGAACTGACGATAGGATAAACCAATGAACTGGCTTGCTACTACATAAGTATTAAGACACAGCGTCAAAATTTGAATCCAAGACTATCTTGCTTCCAGTCCACACACTGAACCCTCTCTGGTACTGCCACCTCCTCTACTGCATCATTGTATAGTTTTTCCACAATTGCAATTAATTTATCCATAAAAACATATACATTAAAAAGAAAAGTGATCTGGCCCCAATTACCTATAACCCATGCAGACAATTTCAAGTTATAAAGGCGCAGTCAATAGATTTTTATCAATTATCAAAATCTCACCCACTCCCCTAAAATACTTTTGCTTTAATTTCCCAAACTGAAAGTCTATTTTTTGTGTGTGAAATTCATAAGGTTTTTATGTGGTTGTAGCCTAAGGGGAATGGTATTGGTATGTTGAGGAGCCATTAAAGGCTTAATTTCTGTTCTTTAAGAGATTAGGGAAGCTTTGCTTGGTGAATTGGTTTGTTTGAATTGCTTGCGAAAATTAAGAAATTCCCCAGTGCCTCCAAGCAGAATCAGTTAGTTTGTCGTCCGTGTTTCAACTGCTCTTTGTGTATATTCCCATTGTAGGAGAGCACTTTGTGCTCATTTATTTGTCTGCATGCTAGGCCACTAGCAGAGGCTCCTTGAAAGCCTGGTTAGGATCATGCACAGAGCAGCCAGCATATAACAGTTTTTAAAAAATATTTATTCATTTAATGAATGATGATAATCTGGTAGATTAAGAAGCCATTTTATATTTTATATAACTGATAGCTCATTATTGTTTTACTACTCAATAGTTTGTGCAGGTCTCATTTTGAATGGACATTCATTTTATTTCTCTGAGTTTATACTGCATGAAATCTGTCTACTTTTGCTGGAGGAGGTCTAGTTTAATACCCCTGGTAATAAATAATTCATGTTAATAAAGATCACCCGGCCAGTGTGGCTCTGGATTGAGCGTCATCCCATGGACTGAGAGGTCCTGGTTCATGTTTCTCTCTCACATCGATGTTTCTATCTCTCTTTCTTTTCCCCTCTCTCTAAAAAAATCAATAAAAACACGTAAAAAAATATTTTTAAATCAATTTCAGGGGGAAAACGTCAGGCACAAATGAATAGTAATTACATAAATACACATTAATTCTGAAAAATACAAAATGTTTGACACTTTAACATAATAGGTAATGATGAAAACTGTAATGACTCCTCTGCATTAAGTAAACAAAATTTTTGTTCATCTAGTCTTTTTGAGAATTTTTAAAATCACAAGCGTATGCTGATTTTTTTGTTAAATACTTTTGCCTATACTGAAATGATCACAGATCTTTTCTCTTTTATTCTGTGAATTGCATTGATTGATTTTTTAAAGCGATTTATAAATTTGCCTGTCATCCTTGCATGGGGGTCATACTAATCTTCTCTGTATCATTCCAGTTTTAGTATACGTGCTGCTACAGTGAGCATGATTGATTTTTTAATATGCCAACCTCGCTTTCCTTGGATGTATCTCCTTTGGTCAGCATGTATTACATATATCTAGATTTAATTTGCTTTTATTTTATTATTATTATTTTTTTGTTAATCCTCACCTGAGGATATTTTTCCACTTAATTTTCGATAAGAGTGGAAGGGAGGGAGAGAGAGAAACATGGATGTGAGAGAGACACATTGATCAGTTGCCTCCCGCACAACCCTAACCAGGGCCAGGGATCAAACCCACAACCCAGGTAAGTGCCATTGACAGGGAATCAAACCCGAGACCCCTCGGTCCCCCAGCCAACACTCTAATCACTGAGCCAAATTGGCCAGGGCTAAGTTGCTAATATTTTTAAAAGATTTTTATGTCTGTGTTCATGAGAGATACTGGTCTGTGGTCTTGTTTTATTTTCTTATAGTCTTTATATGGTTTTGGTATAAAGGTAATGAGTTTGAAAGTGTTCTCTCTTCCTCTATTTTCTGGAAGAGTTTATGTAGAATTGACATCTCTTCCTTCAATGTGTAATAGAATTCAACCAATGAAGCTATCTGGGTCTAAAGCTTTGTGGAAAGTTTTAAAATTAAGAATTCAGTTTTTAAATTGATAAATATTTGTTCATGTTTTCTATTTCTTATTAAGACTGTTTCAGTAATTTGTGGTTTCCAAGGATTGTCCATTTCATCTAGGTTGTTGAATTTAGGACCATGGAATTGTTTATGATATTCTCTCATTATCCTTCTAATGTCCACAGGATCTCCAGTCGTGCCTCCCTCTTTCATCCCTGCTACTAGTAATTTACATGTTCTCTCTTTTTCCTCCTTGGTCAGTCTAGCCAGAAATTTTTCAATTTTATTTATGCTTTCAAAGAACCAGCTCTGATTTCATTGATTTTTCTCTATTGTTTATCTGTTTTCAATTTCATTGATCTCAGCTCTTTATCTTCCTTCTACCTACTTTGGATTTAACTTATTCTTCTTTTTCTAGATGAGGTCTTTTTGAAATTATGTTTCTTGGAGCAGACAGTATAGCCTTCCAGAAAATTATAAAGAACATTCTAGTCCAGTCCTCTCATTTTCAGGTTGGGGTAACTAGTATCAATCACTACCACCTGCTTTTAAAACCTTTCCATGCCAGGTACAAAGTATTGGTGGGAAGGGAGATGGTGATGGTGACTGAAGGAAGGTAAATTATGCTGTACTCTAGTGACTGCCTGTGTGTACCTTTGGAACAACCTCGCAAAGAATTACACAAATTATTCAAGTGTTGTGCTGACAGTTGACTTTAAAATCATAGTCAGATTACTTTATTAACATTAGTCAGAGGGCTTTATAACCTTAAGTCTTTCTGACTAAGAAATAGAATTATTAGTTGATTTTATTAACCTTTGTCTTTCTAATTTAGGTTTATTTCTTTAACAGGAAAACTCAGGTTTAATATAACAAAGTACTCCCTATAAGCAAAGAGGCGGAAATTTTCTTGCATCAGAACTAGTCATTATTTTAAATATAGTGATGCAGAAATATTTTGTGGAGTTATTGCTGAAAACAAAGCATTGAAGTCAGTTTTATAAATAACCATCAAAACCTCTTTTCATTCTACAAGTCAGCTAATCACTTTTCTCTCCTTTGCCCCAGAACAGCCCAAGCTGCAGCTACTGCGTGCCATTCCCTGCCCACAAATGAGAATGAGAGTCAAGAAAAGCCTTATAAGAAAAAGATGTCATAGAACTTTTCCATCACTGTAATTTAAAAAAAAATTTTAAGAAACCCTCATGGAGCACACCAATTACTGAAATTAGAAAGACTAGTTTTATCATTGCAATTGTGACAATATAATTATGCATAGTTTATAACTATATTAAGTATAAATGGATTCTACTTTCAGAAAATACAATAAAACTAACCTAAATGAGCGATTTAGGAGTTGACTATTCATATTTCAAAAGGATTCTTCAATTTAAAAAGTATTCACTGCAGCTTTTTCATAGACTATGATGCCTCTGTGGTTTTAAAATTCATTTGAAAATTTAATTTACGCACAATTTTTCAGGAACTCATTTATTGTACAAAACAATGCACAACTCTGCGTGTGTACAGACTATACCATAAATAAAGGGCTCATAAAAATGTCCCATAAGTTACCTAATTAACTGTGGCTATAGGAATAAATATAAACATTGGTTAAAATGCATAGAAAGCCACTAGAAAAATGTTCTTGTATTATTTATTTTTTATGACTATATGTAAATGCTTTACATTGGTAGTTTCCAGCTTAAAAAGAACTTTAATATGCCTATTATGCCCTTCCCTAATTACAGGTTTATTGGAAAACTTTTCCTTATAAATGATACAAAAATAACCAGCTCACCTAGAAGAATCATAGAAAATTTGACTTATTAAGGTAGAATCTGATGACCCATACATAACAAATACTGCAGATTCCCCACAGAATCCCAGTGTCAGAATTGTCAGGGATGTGAGTCAAGGATATGGAAATCCAGGACTCACCTGGACAGAGTGAGGAGCTCCACCATCCTAACCTCCTGAGTGCAACTGTGGTTTGTAAGTGTCAGAAGAGGGCTCTCAATGGACATATATATACATCTTGACAAGAACTGTCCAGTTCTCAGAAAAAGGGAATGTTGAAGTCTGAAGTCATAGTATACTTCCTTTGAACCAACTCCCTTCTCCAAGTTTAAGTGTGATTATTTAGTCTTCGTTCTAGAATTCCTAAATAGCTGATGTTTGTAAGTTTGTTGCTTTTTGCCCCAAATTTACCTTAGGTTTGGTAACATGAAGCTCTTTCACCATTTGAATGTAGTGCTTCTTCCATATACCCTGCTCAAAGGGAGTTGGAGAAAAATTGATGTACCAGTTAAACCGTAAACATTTGAGCATCCAGAGCTGATCCAGCTCGGTTAAGTTCTTCCAGTGCCAGCTCACCTGGAAAAACAACAACAATGGAAAAAAGACCTACTCAGTTTACATGTCTACTTTCTCCAGGTTTTAAGCTGTCACCCTGGACCCCAGATAACGTTTTTGATCTTTTCCTCCAATTCACAGCTTAAATAGTTACCTCCTACCTCCAGTGCTTCCTACCCATGCAGAACAATTGTCTTTAAATTTTTACCCTGGCCAATTTGGCTCAGTGGTTAGAGCGTCGGCCTGTGGTCCGGAGAGACCGGGGTTCGGTTCCCGTTAAGGGTGCGTACCTCGGTTGCAGTTTGTCCCCGGCCCTGGTTGGTCATGAGGGTGGCAGCCACTCAATGTGTCCCTTTCATGTCAATGTTTCTCTCTCTCTCTTTCCCTCTCTCTCCCTCCCACTCTATCTGAGCAAAAAATGGAAAAATGTCCTCGGGTGAGGATTAAAAAAAAAAAAAAATTCTAATTCACACTTAGAATCTGAGTCCATATAATTTATTGAGCACCTATTAACCATCCTCCTAGTAACCTAAAGAAATAAATATAATTATTACTCTCATATTGCAAATGAGGAAACTGAGCCTCAGTTAGACTTTGGAATTTCCTCAAGGTTCCTGAATTTCATGTGAAAGTTATACGAAGGTTATAGAAACTTAAGTCTGCACATTGTTTATTCTTTTCATTGGTGTGCATCTGTTCTCCCTCCATTCTTATGATTTAACTAAATATAAATTTTATAAACAGAACACAAATACTGACACTGTACGGTGTGTCCTCCGTAGCCTTTAGGATTTCACAGAGCACAAAGTGCTTGTCCTTTACCTTCCACTTCTATAGCATTATAGCCACTCTCAATATCCAGCATACAGTGGAGGTGACTGTTGTGTATAGCAGTATTTGTAATAATTTATTGCAGATTTTAGGTAAGGCTTGCTGGAAACTAGAGTCAAGTTCGTATGTAAAGTTGAGACTAGAGGTCTGTGTCTTAGCTGTAAGAATTGCAAAGATGACTACTGATCTTCAAAACCAAATGTCATCCTTGGAAAACTGGTCTTTTTATCAAGATTAACTAATTAATAATTTGAACACCAAATAAATAAACAAACAGAACATTCTTTAATGGGTCCTGCTATCCATACATCCATTTTTCTATCACCTCCCTTCCTCCCTCCTTCCATCCACCATGTATTGAGTTCCTACTATGTTTAGCCCTGTTTTATGTGTTGAACATGGGACAGGCAGGAGAGAGAAGGGCACAATTAGAAGAATAAGAGGTTCAGGGCTGGAAGAAGGGAAACGGTTAGAGGATCTGACAGAGCCCCCAGGCAGGAACGGAAATCACACCTACTTTGTCCAACCCAGAATGAAACAACACCAACCTTAATCCCTATATGGTTAATTAACACAGAATTCAATGGAGAGATGAGGTTTTGACAGGAGGGAATGGGGAGAAAATTTTCTAAATTCTTATTCTTTTCCTCCTTTTCCTTAGATCTTATTTAGACTTGGGTATATAAACTGGGCTTTTCCCCCAGGGTAGATAAGGTTTTTGTTTGTTTTGTTTTTGCTATTTAATGTTTTGTTTTCTTTTAAGGTAGAGGAATGAGAATTAAAGGGTAGATAGGAGCTTTCAAAACTACAAACGACCCCCATATAATTTCAAACAGCTCAAAGCTCATTTTAGTGCAATGAATTTATTGTTTGCTTTACATCTAGATGAAGAATAACTATCTGCATCTTCCTCACAGTCCATACTGGGAATAAATATAATGGTGAAATCTTGCCACGACTGACATATGGTGTTCATAGATGATAAGAATAGCTATTTCCAATAATGTTTCCCTGGAATGATAACATTCTCCTGTGAAAAACTTGGAAACTTCTGAGAAGTTTAAAGAAAAACAATATGCATAACCCCATCAATCAAAGATGACCTTTAGCACCCTGGCTGGTTTGACACAGTGGTTACAGCATTGGCCCATGGACAAAAGAATCTTGGGTTCGATTCCAGTCAAGGGCATGTGCCTCGGTTGCAGTTCGGTCCCCCACCCTGCTCATGAGGGAGGCAACAGGTCGATCTGTCTCTCTCACATCAATGTTTCTCTCTTTCTCTCCCTCACTCCCACTCTATCAAAAGATAAAATAGAAAAAAATATCCTCCGTTGAGGATTTTTTTAAAAAGGTGACCTTTATTAACAACATGGTAGTTTTTTTCTTTTCGTTTTTTTTTCTTTTAAGGCATGTAAGAAACAAAATTGGAAAACTTTATATATAATTTAAAATCGTGCTTTCTTCATTTTACATATAATAAATATCTCTGTACTTCCAAATCATGTTTTCTATTAGCTACATAATAATTCATCATATGGCTATATAATACTGTCCTATTACTGGAAATTTAGAATGCTATGCTCTTTTTAAAAACTGTTTCATTTTTAGAACAAGTAATAAATGTACATTAACACTAACTTCAAAGGTACAAAGGGGCACACAGGAAAAAGGAAGTCTCTCTCTCATCCCTGTTCTCTAGTTACTCATTTTCCTCCCTGGATGTAACTACTGTTACCAGTTTCTTGTGCGTCACTTCAGAAATATTATAGGCTTCTCGTAACAAATATGTATGTATTCTTTTATTTTTCCACAATGATAGGGCAATTCTGCACCTTTTCATTTTTCTCTGATGATGTATCTTGGAGATTGTTGCAATTTATTTAACCAGTTTCTTAATGGTGGACATTTCCATTGTTTCCAAACTTTTGCTATTGCAAACAATGCTATAATATTCCTATACCAACGTAATTTTGCATAGGTTGAAGTATACCCTTCAGACAAATTCCAAGAAGTGGAACTGCTGGGTCAAAGGGAATCTTTATTTAAAATGTTAATGTTCCCAAATTGTTCTCCATGGTGTCTGTACTAATCTATCAACAACATATGAAAGTGGTTGTTTCTTCACACCTTCACCAATACAGAATATTATTTAAAAAATTTATCAGCCAATCTGAATCATGAAAGATGGCATGACAGAGTGAAACTAAGCATCTTACCTATTTTAGAAACATCTACATTTCTTTCTGTGAACTACTTGTTCATTTTTTTTGCTGTGTTGTCTTTTTTTCCTTAATATAGATTTATAGGAGTTCTGTTTTTTTGTGTGTTTTTTTTCTTAAAAAGGAAATTAGTCCTTTGTTGGCAATATGCATTTTCCCTGTTTACTGTTTGGATTTATTTATGACATTCTTTTTTTACACAGAAATTTTTAATTTTTATAGTCATGATTTAAAATCTAGCTTTCTTTATTCTTGTTCATAAAGTACATATAATAAATATTTTATATATAGTGAATAAAGCAAAACTTGTAACTGTGTATTTTCTTTTACAGTTTCTGGGTTGTATAGAATACTCACAAAGACCTTTCCTACGGTTTTCTTTGATTTCATATCAATCTTTTATCCTACCCAATTTTCCCAACACCATTTTTTTTTTATTTGTTAATCCTCCCCCAAGGATATTTTTCCATTGATTTTTAGAGTGGAAGGGAGAGAGTGAGAGAGAGAACGAGAAAAACATTGATGTGAGAGAGACACATTGGTTGGTTGCCTCCCAAAAGACCCTGGCCGGGGATTGAACCTGCAATCCAGGCACATGCCCTTGGCTGGGAATCAAACCCAAGACCCTTCAGCAGTCCTCTGGTGGATGACCTTGAGCCAAACCAGCCAGAGCCCAAACACCATTTATTAAATCATTCATTTTTGGAAGTAGCAAGATGGCCACCGTCCTGTGTGGCTGCAACTCGGCAAAAACTCTGAGCGCCCTCCAAATCCTGGATGTCCCCACAGTGTTCCAGTCAGTCCACCCTCCCTCTGCCAGGCCTAAGGCCTACATCACATGGTGAAAGCTTCAAGGATCAAGTTATTTCACAAACATATTGCCAGAGAGAAAAGACATTTGAAAATCAAAGAAAGCAAATTAGGCTTCCACTTTTGCATCTAGAAAAAATATCTCAAGCATCAGAAATGAATAGGGAATGTGACAGAGATGATAAGTCTACATATTGAGGATATCCTTCTGTGCTAAAGTATGAGAAAATGTGGATCAAACGAGGCAAATTAGAACAGAGGAAGAATTTACAACTTATGCCAAACGAGTTAAAGCAGAAGTTTGGTGAAATGTGTGAAAAATACAAAATTACTGCTTGCCCTGAGGAAGAGCCACTACATGATAAGTCTAAAGAAGGACCAAGCTTAAGACAAATACCTTCTAATTTGACAAATAACATACTTGATTATGAAGAAAAAGAGTCATTTGGAATGTCTGTCTCTGCAGTATCTCCTGAATGAGAATAGCCCACTCTTGAAAATATTTCTTCATCTCATTCATACTCTAGGTCCTCAGAAGATGCTTCCTGCTCATTTTCTAAGCTATGTTTAAGAGAAAAGATATTACACTCTGAAAATAATCACAAATCAAACACTGAACAGGTTTTTAACAAAAGTGAGGAGAGGTTTAATAATGATACAGAAAATAAAAAAGTAAGAGACCCAGTAGTTCCATTTGAAGTGGAAGAAGACCAAGAATTTGATATTCAGATGACAAAAAATATGAACCCAAATACCACTAACTGGAAATTAGGCATCGGACATATACCTCAGTCTCATGTTCCGAAAAGCCATTTTGATTTGTGGCTTGCACATTGCAATCATATAAAAAAACACAGTTCAAATAAAAAGGCATGCTATTTCTGCAGTTACAAATACTTATAAGGCCTGGCTGGTTTCGCTCAGCGGTTAGAGTGTCAGCCTGTGGTCTAGAGAGACCCGGGTTCATTTCCTACTAAGGGCATGTACCTTGGTTGCATTTTGTCCCTGGCCCTGGTTGGGTCGTGCGGGTGGCAACCGCTCGATGTGTCCCTTTCATGTCGATGTTTCTTTCTCTCTCTCCCTCCTACTCTGAACAAAAAATGGAAGAATGTCCTCGGGTGAGGATAAAAAAAAAAAAGAGAAAGTTATAAATACTTATAAGGAAACAAAGCCAAACCCAGACTTGTTCCAGAAGCCATTATATATAGACAACTGCAGTGCTAGTAACTGTAAAAGCATGGAATATGAGTTAGAAGACATAAGTTCCTCTCCACCATACAGTGACAGAACAACTAACATGTATGCAAATGAAAAATTGCAGCAAGATATGCAGAGGTTTCAGAATGACATAGACATGTTCAAACTTGAGCTCCTGGCTTTGAAAAAAGAGAAACTTCAACTTCAGAAACAGGATGAAGAAGAAAAAGAAAAACAGAAAATTACTGAAATGAAGGTAACCAAAGACATACATAAAGTTGCTGGTGGTGATAGCGATGGATTAATTAAGCAAAGAGATTGCAAACAAGCTGATGACCAGCAATTTCCTATTATAGAAAAAGGCGATTCTGATAGGTCCTCAAAGGAAATATCTTATGAAGAGTATAAGGTCAAAGAGAAAATTAATTCCATGGATGACCTTGATGACTTAATTCACTCAACTGAAACAGTTTTAGTACCTTGCCAGGCACCTCACTCCAAGTGTAAAAATTTCATGTTGATAATTAAACAACCTTGCAAGGATTATAAAGATTCAGATAGCTTATATAATATCCGGGATGCAGTTCTTGTATATGAAAGAGCAAAAGAACTTGGGAAAAATCAATGTGAATTACATACCCAAAAAGTGAAAACAGTGGAAAATGGGGCTAGTGGACTACACAAGAAGTCATCAGAAACAGGAGAAATAGAATCACCGTTTGAGCATCAGAAAGTGGAATTGGAACAAGAACTCTGCAATTTGAGTTTGCCTTAGAAGAAGAAAAAGAGAAAAGGCAAAAAGCTGATCTATTGTATGAAAAAAGTAGGGAGCAGCTAATGAAAATAGAAGAGCAATATGCTAAAGAGACTGAAATGAACAGAGAACTTGAAACCATTGTTAGAACACTAGAGATAGAACTGAAGAATGTCAGACAGAATTTATGTCAGGTTGTAGAAGAGCAAAAGGAAACTCAGAGGCAACTTTCTCAAGAACAGAACACCAGGAAATTACAAGAGGAAAACCTGACCAATCTGCTTTGCAAACAAAACAAGCTAGAAATAGCTTATAAGGAAATGAAGTCTGAGAATAATGATCTTACAGAAAAATTGGAAACTGCATCTTCAAAATGTCTACTCCAGGATGAAAACAATAAATTTCTTCAACAGTAGTTATTATTTATGAAAGCAATAGATAAGCAATGTGAAAAACTAGAGGACAAAAAAAGAGAAGTTGAAACAAGAAGTAATGAACCTCAAAAGACACATGGAAATGAATATGGTAGAATTCAGTGAAATAGAACAGTATAAACGGAAGATTGAAGAATGAGCAAGACAGCATGTAGCAGAAAAATTAAAACAAGTCCATCTATTTTTACAGACACAAAGAGCATCTCAAGAGTGTAATTCTTTAATGCAAAGGCAATTGGAACTCAAAAATAAATATCTAGAGTCAGAACTCTCCAAAATGCAAACTTCTCTAAATTGTAGCAAAATAGAATTGAAAAACTATGTGAGACTCTACATAGAAGAAGTAGAGAGCAGAAAGTCACTGGAAAATAAATTAAACAAGACTATGGAGAGGCTGGCAGAGGTCCATGCTGAATTTCTCCTGCAGAAACAGCACAGCCGCGACTTAGTCAGCACTGTTCACAGGAGGCCAGTCCATCAGACACTTTGTGTTGTAAACACTAATAATAGATTTGTGCTCAATGTACCATCTACTCCAAAAAAAAGTGAAGATTCCTAAGAGAGATGAATTGATGAAGATGCTGCTGAATTTTATTCTGAAACCTGTATAGCTTATTTTCTGTAAGATCTATTCAGTCAAGCTCAAATAAAGATCTACTTTTGAAAGCAAAAGACTATAAAGTTTTTGAATAAAAAATATATGTTCTGAAACATGAATAATAAAAATTTGTTTACTGGAAAGAAAATCATTCATTTTTCTTACTAATTTTTTTAATTTTAAAAACAAAAATAAACATTTTATACATATGTGAATGCATGCTAACAGGTAATTCCTGGTGTTACTAGGAAACACTCAACAAAATGACTGCCAGTTTTATATCTTCAGTAATTTAACTACACTTTAATACTCCATAGAATTACTCCCAGAAAATAATGGTCAGCTCCTTTTCCAAATCCATGAGCACATTTGCTCACTCTGAACTCTTTTAGTCTCATATTCTTTTGTATAGCTCATTAGCACCTCATTTTGCGCTTTTCTATTTATGAGTGGCCTGCATTGTACAATTTAGGATTGTATTGTAGCTGTATGCTGTGCAATATAAGACTTGCTGATGAACCATTGGTGTTTGTCTCACCAACTAGCTACTTCTTTGTGTGGACAATAATGATGCCTTATACTTTTTTTCCCCTTTGAACACTAAATACAGAGTTAGACAAAAAGGAGACAGGGGTGAATCCAAATTTTACAGACTAAACATACTGACCATCTCATCTATTTCTTGGTTTTGTGCATAGCAAGTCCTCACATAACGTCGTTGATAGGTTCTGCAACTTTAAGTGAAATGACATATAACGAAACCAGTTTTACCATAAGCTAATTGATATAAACAAAAGTGAAGTTCCTACAGGATCTCATCAACATTATAACAAAACAAAATTAAAAACAATGCGACTTGAGGACCTGCTATAAGTAAGTTCTCGAGTTTCTAGGCTGACCTTACAAAATGCCCTGCTCTGCTTCTTTGCCTTTACCTGTGCACAACGACAAAGGCTCCGGGGGTCCAAGAAAGAAAAGATGTATAAGGATAACACCCTTGGAAGCTTGGTAGTAAAATCCAGGGCTTCTGCTGGGATTTTTTCCTGAAGCTTTCGACAGCAGAACTTTTGCTGTGACAGGGAGCAGCGTTCTAACAGGCCTGTCAGGATTCTTCTCCTTTGAGAGTCTGTCCATTTGTCGAACTGGGGGGGGGAGATAAAAGAAAACAAAAAGCTCCAGGTTTAATCTGATACCAGAAATTTGTTACGAAGAAGAGATAAAAATGGCATAGAAAGTGAGTTTAGTAATTTATTCCCAATGCATAGCATGTATTTCTTTCCTTAATTAGTAAATTCCACATTTTGCCACCTACATGTCCTTTCTCACGTTTATATGTGTGAACCTGTGCAAGATCTGAGTGTGTAGAGAGTGCACTTGACCTCAGGATTTGTAGTTAATTAGAACAGTAAGTTGGGAGCTGGCCCTGTTCATCAACTGAGAAAACATATATTTATGTGATACAATGTCAAGAGAAGGTACCTGGGCAGCCCCTTCTCCTTCCAAAGAGTTATGTATTAGCTCCTAAGAGCCAAACTCAAAGACCTGAAACAAACCTTTGCCTTCACAGTTGGAGATGAGGTATTACATGTGAATGTCCCTGAGAAGGGCAGCATATTGGGTTCAAGTCCCACTAATGTGTAAATGATGATGTGATTGGAGAGGAAATATAAATAGGAAGACCCGGATAAAAAGAATTCCAGAGACAAGAAAGAGATGCCAAACTAATCTGGGGCACACCAAACTTTGGTTACTTCACAATTTCCCCCAGAGATAACCATAAAGCAGTCCCTAGATCAGTGAGTGATCAAAAGTAAGAACTTGCCCTGGCCGGTTTGGCTCAGCGGTTAGAGCGTCGGCCTGCAGTCCAGAGAAACCCGGGTTCGGTTCCCACTAAGGGCACGTACCTCGGTTGCAGTTTGTCCCCGGCCCTGGTTGGTCGTGCGGGTGGCAGCCACTCGATGTGTCCCTTTCACATCGATGTTTCTCTCTCTCTCTGTTCCTCTCTCTCCCTCCCACTCTATGTGAATGAAAAATGGAAAAATGTCCTCGGGTGAGGATAAAAAAAAAGAACTTGAGAGTTAGCCAAAACCCAAAGAAAGTCTCTATAGAAACACCTACCAAATGAATGAGCCACTTTACCTGAGTTTAAATCTTTTCTTCTTTTGTCCATTAGAGAAAAAAGGGAAGTTTGGGGCTACCTGTATTTTGTATACTATTGCATTTCACATAGAGATATTTATTACAATTATTATAAGGTAAACAGAACTTTATAATGAACTTTAGTTATACACTGACTATCTACAAGGCATATAAAACAAAATGTATTTTGTACAAGCCTTATAGTCAACTTCATTATGGTCATACAATATATTTTTTTAAATTAGTATGGATACTTCTTGATTAAAACTATTTACTATTATAGAGCTATTCAATGACCCACAAATCTCACTTAGGAGACTATAATTCAAGAGGAAAACATTCTAACATAAAAACACCAAAAACTTTAACTTACAAATAAGTGAATAAAATGTATTCATGTGTACGTGTTTCCTGATTTGTCCTATACTATCCCTGCTTTGGCACAATCCATATCTTAACTTCTTTCTTCTTGGGATGGATTATTGGAATGAATAGAGAGAAGCCAGAATAGAATGGCTAGGGTTAGGGGAAGAACCAGGCCCAAAGGATGCATTGGTCTATAAAATAAAGAGCCAAGGGGAGTCGGAGGAGACAGAAGAGCTTGGGGTTTCGCCTTGTTGGGAGCGTGGGAGTTCAGATTGTTACTGCGTTGACAGCAGTTACAGAGTGTGAGAGAACTGAGGAATAAAGGGAGGAGATCTGAGAAGTATCAAGAGTTTTCAACTGGATCCTCTGTGATTTTTTCTTTGAGAGACAACCTGAAAATTGAAATTTACTTATTATTTACTTTTATTATTATTATTTTTTATCCTCACCTGAGGACATTTTTGCATTTATCTTCAGATAGAGCTGGAAGGAGAGAGGGAGGAAGAGAGAGAAACACTGACGTGAGAGCGAGATATCGACTGGCTGCCACCCACACGACCCCAACCGGGGCTGGGGACAAACTGCAACTGAGGTACATGCCCCTAGCGGGAACTGAACCAGGGACTCTTTGGTCCATGGGCCGACGCTCTAACCGCTGAGCCAAACCAGCCAGGGCTGGAATTTATTTTTTAAATTACTTTCAGGCAATGCTATGTGTCTCTGTAGAAACTGAGTTTCATTGGGACACAGGAAGATTATGGTTACAAACAATTTTCCTGAGATATTATTATCACTGCAAGAAAATCAGGAATAACCCAACATGCTTAACAGTAAGGGATCAGCTAATCAAACTGTGATATATCAACAGGATAAAAGAAAGTGTGGCATTATGTTGATGGTGGGTTTGGGAATGAGACCACTGGGAATCTCATAACATTCTATTCTTTCTAAACTCATTAGAAATAAATTACTAAATCCCAGTTCCACCACTAACAATCTCTCTCAGCCTCAATTTCCTCATTTATATATTAAGAATAATTATATCTACATTGTAGGGTTGTTGTGAGGAGTAAATAAAACTATATATATAATTTATATATATAATTCATTGTAGACATGACAGATATTATAATAAACTATCAATGGTGAAGTTAAAAATAATAAATTTATGGGTTAAATCAATGTAAAAATAAAATCTATGTAAACAAATTAAAAAGCATGTAATTACCATGTCTGTACATTGACAAGGACGGGAAATGCACTGAAAATGGCTGAGGTTTTCTCATCTACTTTCATTCATGCCCATCAAAAGAAAATGGGCCCAAATTGAAGGAGATATTTAAAATGAATATAAAAGAACATTAGGATTATAAAATGATGATGAATATTTAAAATGAATATAAAAGAACATTAGGATTATAAAATGATGATGAAATCTGTAAGAGAAAACATTAAAACACTTTTCTTTAGAGGCTAAAAAGACAATTACTTTGGTTTCTCTGATTACAATGGTCAAAGGTAATTTAAATTTGGCTTTGATAGGTGTTCATTGCCTCAAGGGATTTCCCTTTCTAATTGTGTTTCTTTAGGCTAATAGAAAAAGAATTTGCATTCCTTTAACTCCTACCAATTGAAAGTGATGACTCAGAAGAATGCTTAACAGTTGGGGGAAATCCCTACGGATTTAAAAAGTACTAGGAATAATCCAAAAAGTAAATAATCCATGGTAGAGTTAACTGTACAGGAATTTGATAATCTCCTATGTCTCTTGCATCATCTCTCAAGTAAAAACACCCATAATATAGTAGCCATCATTCTAATGTGTGAGATTGGGGAGCAGCTAGGACCATTTTCCTATCCTGGTATTTTTATGGCACCTCACTCCATAGTTCATTTTTTACATTACATTATGTTATGTTACACTGTATTTATAATTATATTTTATAATTATTTTAATGCCTTTTAAAAAAAATCCTCACCCGATGATATTTTTCCTTTTTTTTTTGGTTCAGATATAGTGAGAGGGAGAGAGAAACACTGACGTGAGAGGGACACATAGAGTGGTTGCCGGGGACGAATCACAACTGAGGTATGTGCCCTTGATCGGAACTGAACCCTAGAATCATTGGTCCAAGGGCCAAGTTGGCTCTAACCGCTGAGCAAAACCAGCCAGGACTAATGTAATGCTTTTTTAAAGGACTTTCTTGACTCAATAGACTTGTAAAAATCTTGTTTTCAGAATAGTTGGAACACCACAGGATTCTTACAGCAGTTTTGGGAAGTGAGGACAGTTGCTAGCGATGAGGGTCCATTTATCACACTGAATGGCAAGGTCAAGTTCAAGGGAAGTGAGGGACAAGATGAAGATGGAGACTTGTTATTTTTTGCTGATTGGTTATATTATCTTAATATGGTTGAGCTTCTGAGTCCTATTGTCAAAAACTTAATTTCACAATTAAAATATGAATACATTCTAGTTTTAAAAGTTTCAAATAGGTATGGACATAACCAAACATGAAAATCCTATTTAACTATATACCCCCCTATCAATTCTCACTCACTCCATTCCCCAGAAATAACTACTGTTCACAGTTTGATTTCTGTGCATTTATATACACCTATATTCATCAACAGGGAAGCAATTAGATAAATTAGAGTATACCCATTCTGTGGAATACTACACAGAAGTTTAAAAATCAAACAGAAGCCTGGCTGGTATGGCTCAGTGGACTGAGCATTATCTCATGGACTGAGAGGTCCCAGTTTGATTCCCGGTCAGGGCACATGCCGAGGTTTCCAGCTCGATCCCCAGTAGGAGTCATGTTGGAGGCAGCCGATCAATGTTTCTCACATCAATGTTTCTATCTCTCTCTCCCTTCCTTTCTCTCTAAAAAATCAATTAAAACATTTAAAAGAAAATCAAAATCAAATAGAATATAACCGTAAGGATCCTGATTTGTAACAAACTCCAGGGCATATTGTTTTTTCATTCATTCGTGGTAGGATGTATATGTGATCTATTCATGTTACTGCCAATACCATTTAGGTTATTTCTGATACAAAAACAGAACAAAACAAAACAAAAATCCTGCAATATCCTAGAACATGTCTTTTCAGGTCCCATGTGAACGTTTTTCTAGCACAGATAAAGGAAAGTGGAATTACAGGTTCAAAGGATATTTGCATTTAAAAATTTAATGGAGTCTGTCAAACTGTCTTTTGAACATCTTTACCATTTTTATATTTCCTCCAATTGTGTTTAAGCATATTCTCCTATTTACCAATGAACCTTACTTTGGATATCATCTGTCTCTTTAATTTCTGCCACATAGTCCAAGAGAGGAATTGGGAATCTCATTATTTAATTTATATTTCTCTAATTTTAGTAGAATAGAGCAGTTTTTATACGTTTATTTGCCATTTGCATATTTTTGTATATTTCTTATTCTTCTATTGGCCTATTATTATATATAAATATTTGTATTTTCCTTACTGATTATAGGAACCTTTTATATTACCCAAATATTAATCTTTTTCTAGCATGCAATTTGCAAAATATTTGCCTGTTTGTCTTTTGAATTTTAACTCCAGCAAGTTAAAAGTAATGCTATCTACTTTTTTCAAATCCTTTATAATA